CCCCCCCCCCGCCCCCCCCCCCCCCCCCCCCCCCCCCCCCCCCCCCCCCTTGCTCGCCTCATTATTCAAGCATCGCACCAAGAATTCGTACGTCGCCTAAACCCAAGTGCTGCGCAAAAAGACTTCTGACTTGGTAAACAGCAACATCGCGTCTGCGGGTCCTCGTCCTCGCTACCACAGCAACCAGCACAGGGCAGGCGGACTCGCATCGTTTTCTTGTCTAGGATGGCTCTGATTGAACCTGGCACGGCCTCAAGCGGTGGGCCAAGCCCGGAGACTAGCTCGCTTCCTCGAATCGGCTCGCGGACCTTCCGAATACCAGGTACCTCGGGCGAGGTGAGAGGAGAACAACGACTGCTACGTGTGCGTGTGTCGAGTCCACAGGGGCATAGGCGGAGGAAGACGGATCGTGGTGGCGGCGGCAAGGCTTTTTGCTGTTGTGGCATTGTTGTCTCTGCTGTTTTAATCGTTTGTGTTTCTTGCACCCTCTCCCGGTGTGGCGAGAAATGTTTACGCTCTCCGTTACCATCGCTTCAAATACGCACAGACTTGCTCGACACGCACGCACAAGGCTGTACAACAGCAGCTGGAGAGCGATGGATGATGTTTGACAGCAGTGAAGTCCATTCCATCCAGAACATGTTGATACCCTCCTCTTGTTGTCGGGCTCTGCCTCTGGCGCGGCAGGACACCCCCCTTTGTGCTGGCACACAGCAGCTCGGGCTGAGGCATGTTACAAGGGTATTTTGTACCCTTTCAAGTGCTGTGTAGAATCGAAAGAGAAGGAAATACCCACCCACTAAATTTCCGGAATTTCTGCGGCATCTGTTGTATTTTTAGAATATAGCTCGCTTGGAAAATCGGTACGGCCGCCCATCCTACGTATGTACAGTGCGCGCACGCGCTCTACCAATCCGTTCTTGCTTTGCCGACCCGCTGGCTGTTCTTGCGTTGAGAAGGCCATCCTCGTTATCGTCTTGATTGCAGTGCGGATGGGTGCGTTTCAGTGCTTCAATGAAACCTTGCAGCTTGGTGGAGTCTGGAGGCCCGACCTCATGAAACTTCAAGGAACTTGCGATGCGGTGCAACGTACAACGACTCTCGTCCCCCTCCGGCTTCGGGGGTCATCCCACCAATAGCCACACATACATACATACCCGCAAAGGCGTAATACCCGACACCTTGTTAGGCGTTCCGTGCCCTTCAATAAACGGATGACTTTGATGCGGTGCTGTAGCGGGGGGTGTTGTTTCCGCGAAGACGCGTGTGCGTGGGGGCAAGCTGCTGCCAGATGATCGGAACGAAGTAGTGGCCACGCTGCTGCCGCGACTCTGCACATACCCAACCCACACTTACTATAAGTACAATGGTAGGATATGTAGGAGACAAGGATCTCGATGTTATCCTCTTGTCAAAGGACGTCTGCTTGTGCGGAATCACTGCTACTATTAGCACATGTTGTCACCAGCGCGCCAGTCAATACAGCCCTTAACGTCCGCCGAGCGTAGACTTTCGAAAGGGGCGGCGGGTACAAAATGTATGACCGCCCGGGAAGACGAAAAAAAACACACACACACACCGAGCGTTCGATCGATCGAACAAGCTGCATCAGATACAGCAGTAGCGGCTACGGTTTGAGAGAGGATGGTGACTATTAGTATCCCCTTTACTTCTCTTAAATCGTGCTTTATCTAATACCGTGTTGCAAGGTTTAGGAGAATATTCGCTCATACCGTGTTGGCTACGGAATGTTCTCTTGAACCGTGCACGTGCGTTACGAGAATATTCTCTTCAACCATACGTGTGGCATTTTAAAGGCCACGGAATATGGACGCTCCCGTTTCAACCAGCAAAAGGATGTTTTGGAGGGCATACAACTCATCATGTTACATCACGCCAGTTGTTTTAGCATCTTGGGCTAGCTCCACGCGCTGCCAAAAAAAATGTTTCTCGGGCCTAGCCTGGTGAGCAGTGTACCCACCGCAAGCACTGGGTACAATCCTGATACCTGTGTCGGAAATCGTATAATGAATGATTCCGTGTGATGATACATTTCGTTGCACGTTCGTTCTTTCGCTCTACGAACGGTGGTTTGTGAAATTTGATGGGCCTAGGGTGTGATCGGGGACCGCTGTGCAACGTCTGCCTGCTGCGCAGGGCGTGTCGTCTGCAGGTTGTGTGTGTGACGGCTACGTGGCTCTTTTTAGAGGTTAGGTTTAGGATGAAATCTCAGAAATATGGCAGTATAAAAATTCACGGGCAGGTTTAGTACAGTACAGTATTTTTATTCCAGTATTTAACTGCGTACTAAAACGTCCAGTACAGTACAGTACCGAGAGCCGTGCTGCCAGTACAGTATATTCCAGTATCGAGAGCTGTACTG